ATATATATATATATATATATATATATATCTTCCAAGTGCTTATGTAACAATACAACCAAACACTTTAAAACTGTGCAAGCGCTAATTTAACATGTACATCCAAATGCAAAGAGCTGACTGATTTTTAAGCACTTATAACATAAATTCTTATATAATAAAAACTTACTGAATAAAATCTTAATTAAGTTGTTTTTATCCAAACGGCCTAAGCTCTTGTAACAGACAAACTTATTTTGATCACATGAGCTTATAAGTTACTCAAAAGAGCTTATAAGCTCCTCAAATGTCTTGTCAAACAATCATAGACAAGGTTGCCAAAATTGCGAGTTTACTATATACCATCCTACAAATTTTCCTCCTTCTCCATGCTCCTTTACAATCAAGATCAACGAGCTTTCATGGGTTGAAGACGTTGGGTTGAGCAACCCATACGCAAGGAAACCCATTTTGTGGATTTTTAGGCCTTAAAAACTTCCTTCTCTTCACACAACTTCAATGACCCTTCTTTCTGGACAAATATGTGTCACACAACCCTATGTTATCAATCAAGGTTGGAGAGGCCCCTATTATGACTACAGATGGCAAAAAAACCCACACTCGTAGGTACCCACGAGTAGAATCCACCATGAATAATAAATAAATAGCTTAAATAGATACCCACGAGTAATGGGTACGAATATTTTTCTACCCGTTTATAAATGAAAAGGATCCAATATCCATAACTAAGGTACCCACTAAGAATTATTACTTAAATACTCTTATATATATAAAAGTAAACAATCCAAAATCACCTATTCTATACTACTTTTCCTATTATTTGCTTTCCCTGTTATTTTCATAATGTATCATACTTTCATTTTAACTTGTAAGATTGATATATTTTATGTTATTGTTTATTTTGTGTTTTTATTATTTTAAATATTTCAACAAACTAACGCACATGCAACTTCAAAAATTAATATCAATTATTTATCTTTAATATTTCAATAGAATTAACATTAATCTCAAATACAAACTTAAAATTATTTTTAATACTTTTATTCTAATTTTAATTTCTTAAAAAAATCACAAGTATCCAAGGATATCAATGGATACTAGGTGTATTAATAAAATTTGCAAGTACCCGCTTATCAGATACCCATGTAGGTATGGGACAAATACGGGGTGAGGATAGGGAGCATATTATTCACCCCCAAGGGACCCCATTGTCATCCGCTGCTACAAAAAAACTTGTGGTGCATTTAATGGAGTGGCCAAAGCGAACACAAGAGACGAAACAGGGGGGTGTAGTTGGGTGTTAGGGCAGCAATCAGCAAAAAATTGAAAATACCCTCACTAAGTGAGGGTATTTTTGTCCTTTCCATCGAATCTTCTCTTTGTGTGAAACAAAGTGGGACAAGAGAGCATTTCTTGACCTAGTGGGCGTCACACTCCTTCCTCACTACCCTAACTTTCCTTCCTCCTCTTTTTCTCAAACGGATCTCCCCTCTCCCACGACTTCCGTCTTCTCAAGCAACTCTAACATTTCTCTGACAAGTCTGTAACACTTGTCTTCTTCAAAAAGTAAGTTTTTTTTTCCTTTTTTTTTTATTTCTATTAGTATTTTCTTTTCTTCTTTTTTCTTACCCTTATTTTTTTATTTATTTTTGTTGTCTTCTTTTCTTCTATCCTTTTTTTTATATTTGTTCCCTTCTTTTTTTTTTCTTTTTTTCCCTTTCACTTTCTTTTGTTCCTATTTTTCTTTATTGATGGCAGCAACAATTTGGTTATTCTTTTCATTACTTTTTTACTTGGGAGGTGATGAAATTGAAGGAGAGGATGATTTGTGGATCTTGATGAGGATTAAGATTGAATTTTAATGTTTACTTTTTTAGTTACTTAAAGCTTTAGTTTTAGATGATTTAAGCTTTAAGCAATTTGTTTCCTTGACTTTTTATGTTATGTTTTGTTTAAGTACAATGAAATTTTATTATTGAAAATGATAATGCATGAATCTCATGTTATTTTTCTTATTTTTAGCTTATATATATGTATGTGTGTATATTTATATATAGATATTTATATTTATATATATATATATATATATATATGTGTGTGTGTGTGTGCTTGCGTGGGTGGGTAGGTGTGTGTGCACACATATATTATTTAATATATAAATATAATATTAGAATCCTACTATCTACAATCTTACTATCCCACTTTTGGGGTCGACCACTCCACTATCTGGGATTGACAACGATGATGCAATCCACAACCAGTGATTTAAGAACTAGCAAGCCCTAAATCCATCTCAATCTGTAAGAATCGCTCAACCTCCCCCCTTCGCAATCCCTTCCTTTTTAGGTTTCTGAATCCACTTTTGGGAACTTCATTTGAAATTAAATCTCCCTAAAATGTTTGGACCATAATTATCAACCATATGTGATAGTGCAACAATCATACTGGAGTGGAGCAACACCCTACTGCTCCTCCAAAAGACTGCCAATCACATTGTACCCAGCCTTCACAGGCAGAGTAGTGCATTTCACAGTCAAAATCACAGCCAATAGCAGGTGGAGTAGACACTACAGTGAGGAAACACCCAAAAGCTGAGTTTGCCCCTGAAACCAATGTCACTTTAAGGTTTTTTGGCAGTAAAACTTGTAAAGTCCCTACCGAATCTGATGCATTTTGTGTTTGTTCTCACTTGCTTTGTCACTACTCCGCATTTTCTTGCCCTAGCACCTGTGACTTCTTCCTCTGTTCTGCAAATTCTGCTCCTCCCCTTTCCTCTGTTCTGCTTCTCCCTTGTTCCAGCTGCTGACTGCTGACTTTTTGGCAAGTTTTCTGATATCCATATCTTGGTTCTTCATTTCCAGGCACTGACACCCATAAGTTTCCAGCGAGTTTTCTGGCCAATAGCCAATGAATTCAAAGACTCATCTCTCTTTCTTCTATTTGGTTCTTCATTATGAATATGATTTTGATATTATGTATTTTTCTTTATTTTCCAGCATATATACATTAATATAAATCTCTTTAGGGTTTCAAACAGCAACCATCCGCTATCCACTATAGCGCTATCTTCTATTATGTTTCCATTTTACTCATTATCTCATTCCATAATCATTATCAAATAGAATATAAATTGATATATCAAAAATACAAAAACATATGTATTATTAGATGCATTAGTTAATTATATTACTTAAGAATTTGGGAGGTTTAAATCAATCCCACAAAACTGACTTGTGAGATGAGGACCATCCAAGCTTTATTGTGGGACTAAGAACCACCCTTGAGGCTCCAATTAATGCAGGCCCTAAAGAAGCACCAATTAAGGTGGGCTGGAGTGACCACAATTACAGCAGCTTTCCAACACCCCCCCTCACACCTAGGGCTATCAACCTAGATCATGGCATTGAAGGTGGCCCAAGCCCAACAATAGATATAGGATAGGTTTTGCTGCCACTTTAGTCGGGTTTTGGGCTTAACTCAACTTCACAAAATTGGCCAATAAGGAGAGACATGCGTCACGGTTTTATTCTTCTCTAATCACATAAATTCCCTCCTTTTGATTTGGCAGGTCGAACCAAATTGATGACACAACCTACTATCACATATATAATCCTAATTCATAACTACCAAGTTACCTACAGTTATTTTCTACAAACAACTGTCATCCTAGAGTTTCTAATACATAACTATTTTCTAAAACACTGTCCATAACTGCCCCAACAATTAGTTTCTATCAACTTAACATACATTTAGAACCATGTTTACAGCAAAAAAAAATTGTGCATTCAATCATAAGCTACAAATTGTAGCTTTGAAGTCATGGCATCTTAATGTGGGTGTGCAATGCAGTTCCAAACACATGCTTAATTTGCATCTCAAAACATCAAAACTAGCAATCATCCCACTACCAGCTATTCTGATTAATATAGCAGTTTTTGGGTCAGCTGCCCCACACCGCTATTCAAGATTGATAACTATACCATGGACTTTTAGTACATCACAGTTGCAAGATTGGAAAGAATATTCAAGGATGAACAGCGCAAGCAAAAAAAACATTTTGTTCTTTTCTTTTCAACATATAAAATATAAAGATAAACTAACAAGGTTTCGAAAAGTTATTAGCTTCTGACAACATCATGGATAGTTGGATACCAAATAGTGATGAAATTTATGTTGCATTTGCATGCGTATATGTGTGTGTGCATGTCCGTACACCAGAATATCAAAAATACTCCATGTAAAGGTAATATGCTTGTAATCATCCCAGTTTCTTTAAATTTCCAATTCAATTCTATACAGAGGATGAGAAAAAAGTCAAGAAATTCAGAGCAGCGAACGAACCAGTGGATGAATAAACCTCTGACCATCATCACTCTTCTCCAACAAAACATGCTCAAAAGGCTGGTTTGCATTATTCACCACAATGTTGTACGCGTACTGAGGCTTCTTAATCGTCGGTATATGAAACGACACTTTCGTTTTCTGCCCAAACCCATTTTCACATTCTTCTCCGCCATCTTTCTTAATCATCCGCAACTCATCCACCAACTCTTCAACCAGATCCAAAACGTCCTCGTTCGCATTCACAAGCCACTCGTACGCGTCGTCGACATCACTGGGAAACGCCGAGCCTCTGCCCCAAATATTCTCGGCGGAACCGATTTTATCGAGCATTGACTGCGTCCTCCTCGCGATTTCCTCGATCGGGCCTCGGAACTCCTTGAATTTGTAGTAGAAATGGAAGTCCTCGCCGGAGGGAATGCATGGCGAGGAAGAGGAAAGCTCCGCGAGGTGGTGATCGAAGTCCATGGCGTCGTTGCTCGTGAAGAATGAGGAAAATCGGTTGAAAGGGGTTTTAGGGTTAGGGTTTGTGGATTTTCGCCATTGCCGCTGGGAAATGGGAAAGGGAAACACTCTCGCGCGCTACTCAGCGTTTTGGTTTTGGAGTATTTTGTTTCGGAAGAACAGTGTTTAAGGAGAAAGATGCAGAGATACGTTTTATGTCACGTGTCGAGGGGACGCTGCACGTGGCAACAAAGTACTTATATGTGTACTTGTGAAATTTGACCTTTACCTGCCTTCAATGAAAAAGTGGAGAGAAAATCATATGTTGTCGTATTAACTTTGTTTTTTTGGACTTATGCCTTTAAAAAAACAAAAAATAAATCATTTTTGGTAGCTATAAAAAGAAAAAAACAATATGTTATTATGGGTTGGTGTTGATTGAATCAGTGGTAAAAATGGTGAAGAAGAAAAACTCAGGGACTAAGAGAAGGTAAGCTTAACAGGGAGAGTGGTTATTATTATTATTATTTTTTATAATGTGTAAGCAGAAAAAGAGTAAAAAAGGTTTATAACAATTAGTAAGGAAAAGAGGTATTTATTGTATCTCTGTATTTAATTTTTAAAAATAGTTATAGAAACAATGTTAAAATTTAAAATAGGTTACCATTTTTTATAGTTAAATAGTTAATCATATAAATTAGTAAGTGGGTAATTTTTTTATTTTTATTAAGGTAAATGGATAGCTATAAAAAGTGTTTTATTTAGGAGTTGTACCGGAGGGATCCTATCGGCCATGTGGACCAACATGTGTCGTTCCGTTAGACACTCACGCGGATTAAAGGCAACCACGACCATACATCAACCTTGACTCTAACATCGGCTCGGCATACGACCGAAGGCCGAGAAGAATCCACAAGCAACCTCGGTTCGGTTGAAGACCGGTAACAAGTACCATGTTCCCATATGTCCTACATATCGGCTCGGCCTAATGCCGACCCGGTAGGATAGCAACAATACCTGTCGGCCCGGCCAAAGGTCGAAGACATCCAACACCCCAAGCCTTTACCTGTCGGCTCGGCAATGAGTCGAGGGATAAAACAAGGATTATGGCTATAACCACGATTAATCAAGACAAGCACATGATTAAGACATAATCAACCAATTAGCGTCGTATTACCTTTTATGGGCCCTGTTAATGGTGGGCCTCTTCTGAAGCTTACCAAATTAGGTAATACGATGCTAATCGGCTGATTATGTCTTAATCATGTGCTTGTCTTGATTAATTGTGGTTATAGCCATAATCCTTGTTTTATCCCTCGACTCATTGCCGAGCCGACAGGTAAAGGCTTGGGGTGTTGGATGTCTTCGACCTTTGGCCGGGCCGACAGGTATTGTTGCTATCCTACTGGGTCGGCATTAGGCCGAGCCGATATGTAGGACATATGGGAACATGGTACTTGTTACCGGTCTTCAACCGAACCGAGGTTGCTTGTGGATTCTTCTCGACCTTCGGTCGTATGCCGAGCGATGTTAGAGTCAAGGTTGATGTATGGTCGTGGTTGCC